GGTAAGGGAGCTCCCCGGGGGCTGTTGTGGCAGCTGGTGCTGAGCCTCGGGTGGGGATGTTACAGTTAAGTCATGTTCCCCCAAGTTTCTCATGTTGAAGTCCTAAAACCTTCCCATTGTAAAATGTGACTTCCTGTGGAACTAGGGCTGATGCAGATGTAATTAATTGAGATGAGGTCATAATAGTTGGCTGGGTCACTAATCCAATGTGACTCTGTCCTTATAGAAAGGGGGGGTTTCTGGCAGCGACACAGGCGTGCGTAGAGGGAAGCAGAGAGGAAGAGACATGGGTAGAGTGGCCATCTACAAGCCACGGAGAAAAGCCTGGAATGGATCCTGCCCCGCAACCCTCAGGCCCCTGATACTGGGAGATGACAATTCCCTGTCATTTGGCCACCCAGTTTACGGCCTTGTGTTATGGCAGCCTGAGCAAATCCCAGGATGTGAACTGTTACCCGCTTCCCCTATCTGCTCCCTGAAAGCCCACGTCACAGACACGTGCCGTGGCCGGTGGCTGCTCCTCTTTCCTCTGGGCACTGCTGATCTGTCTCCTTTCAGCTCCGAGCTCTCTCGGAGGACCCCACCCCCGTCTCTCTCCTTCAAACCCACCAAGGCTGGCTTAGCACCGTTCGTTCCAGGGTGAGTGCACGGTCCTCTTGCGTGCGTCTCCTGTCCCTGCGTGGCTCTATGCCCTGCATGCAGCAGGTGTCCTTCATCCCCGCTCCTCATTTCCCTGCACCGCACTCCTCTGCATCCGGAGAGCTGCTGTTCCTTCCGCACTCGCTCCGGCCAGGCCAGGCATTGGTACATGCGCTTCCTCCTCTGAACGACCACCTGACCCCTAGAGACAGAGTTTCACTGTGCAGTTCAGGCTGGCCTTGAACTCACAGCAATCCTCCTGCCTCGGCCTCCTGAGTGCTGGGATTACAGGCGTGCACCACCATGCCCGGCCTCTCTAAACACCGTTTAAAGCCCCGTTTCCAAAGAAGAACTGAATCCCAGTGAGAAGTGAGTTGTCTCAAGCCACATCTAAAATTCTCAGCCATCAGGGCAGGAAGGAGCTGTGGGGAGCAGCAGAGCTGCCCTCTCACTGCCTCCATGACACAGTTGGGCCACCAAGGTCCAAAAGTCTCCCTTCCCTCCACTGGACTCTGGGACTCCTCAAGGTCCACCTTCAGCCTCTCATCTGTCACCCTCCGCACTCTGCCCAGGCCTCCCTCGATCTTTCCACGTGACTCTCCTGCGCTCCAAGAGGTCGTGCAGTCCCCCCCCCCCCCGCCCCTCCTCTTCCTGAGCGCTGGCGCTGAATTTTGAGACCTTGCACCTGGACCCTGCAGGCCCCTCAGACTCATTTTGTTCAAAATCAAAATAACATCACCTGACCCCACATCCAAGGCTTCTCCTGAACTCCCCGGCTCATTACCAGCTTCTCTGCCCTTGTCACTCAAGCCCAAAGACTTTGACCTCCTCGACCCACCATCCCCGCATCCAGTCAATTGTCAACTCCGGCCTGACTTTCTTCTGTGTATTTCTCAAATGCACTAGTGCTGACCCAGTTTAAGCCTTGATTAAACCTCTCCCCCCGCCCCCCGCCCCAATCCCTGTGTCAGTGTCCTGCATCTACCAGCATTAAGCTTGGCTGTTTGGGACCAGAGACTGAAATGACAATCACTTCAACAAGCTGAAGTTTATTTCTCTCTCATAATTCAAGTTTGGAGCTGGGAAGTTTGGGGCTAGTGTGATAGTTCTGTGATGTCGAAAGAAATCAAGTCTCACTCTAGTTCACTGACATCCAAGTTCAGACTTTTATCCTCATGGTTCAAGGTGGCTGCTTGAGCTCTAACCATCTCAGCTGTGTTCAGCTAGCAGACAGGAGACAGGGGCAAGAAAAAAGAGACAAAAGGCATGGGTCAGCAATATTTTAAAAGAGTGACCTAGAAGCTGCCACAAGCCACAGAAACATATTTAGCTATGATATAAACTAGAGAATGTGATCACTATAATAGGATGGCCATGTGCCCAGTCTAAGACTGGGATTTCTGACTAAGGAGGAAGGCTAGACTCTGATGCCTTCTCTTATCCTTGCTCACCTTCATCCCTCTATTTTTTTCCCCTCTCATCCACTCTGGTCATTGTAGCAGGATGATCTTTGTAACATGTAGATTTGTATGAAGGATTTCCAGGTTTAGCAAATGAGGGCACAGGCGTCCTAGGTAAGTGTGGATTTCTGGTAGCGTAAATGCTTTAGCATAAGAACACCTTGTGGAGTATTTAGGATTCTAACACTGGAAAAAGTATTTGTGTACTAGAAGTCGGCTCCGCCTGAGAGCCCTGTATTCAGTGGTCAGTCCAGACTCTGCATCTGTTATGGGTCCTTGTCATTCTCAGGAGAAGCCCAGCTCTTAGGGGGACCTGGCCCGCGACAACATGTCCTATGATTGGTCTGTGCAGATCTTCGCTTTTCAAATAAGCAGTCACTGTTCGCTTCTGCTGCTTCCTTGGCCTGGAATCGCCCTTTCCGTCAGAAAGACCCGAGCCTCTACAGGGACCCTGGCATCTGTATCTCTAGATTTCTAAGGACACTGCAGGGGCGAGACACTATCTGATGCAAGTCCAAGGCCACCAGCAAATACGGGTCAAGGCTGGAGTAGATTCCGGGGCGTCGTGACTCCTTCCATAGTGCCACAGTGCTCTCTGCGTCCAGGGTGGCTCGTGCAGGCCCAGGACTGGGATCTCTGTGTCTGGGGCCTTGATTCTCTGCAAATGGACCTCGGAGCACGGCATTCCCAGCACGCAAGGGGTTAAGCCCGCGTCGGAGTCGGGAGCCGGAGCCCGGAGCCGGAGCCCATGGAGTCCTCCCCGACAATAAAGCTAATGAATCCTTCCTTGCCATTTTCCCTTGCACAATAACATTTAATCATCATTTGCACAGCAGATGAGAAGTTTGCAGCAGATGCAATTCTGCGTGAGTGGCGATTTCTGTGTGTGGGAACCATTCCTGCTGTCCCCAGCACACCTGATGATCTGGGGCTGGGGCAGGCTGCACCCCAGAGGGGCATATGTGCCTCCACGTGCCAGGAAGCCGACTCCATCCGCGTGGGGGAGACGGGCTCTGGCGGCACGTGTCTGTGTGTGTGCTTTTCTGTGGAGCCAGGCACGTGTGGCGTGGCTGTGGCAGAAGCTTGGTGGGCCTGCCTGACAGGGCCACATGCACAGCGGGGGCTAGGTGCTGGAGGTGGAGACGCCTACATCTAGGAGGCAGATGAGCATGAGTCTATTTTTTTTTTTTTGCCTTTTTGAGACAGGGTCTCACTATGCAGTTCAGGTTGGTCTTGAGCTCACTTTGTAACCCAGGATGGTCCCAGACTCACAACGATCTTCCTGCCTCAGCCTCCCGAGTGCTGGGACTACAGGTTGAGCCACCAGGACCAGCTGTGTCTACCTTCTGGCATGTGTGTACATGAGGGTGTATATCTGAGAACTGGTTGGGAAAAGCTTATCTATTTAGGTGCTGACAGCTGATTATATATTTATGCTCATACACACAGCCCTATGGGCTCACGGGTGAAAATACAACTCTGGGCGTTAAGCACTTCAATTTAGAGTTTACAACTGACTTCCTGAGGCTGTGCATCCTTTGGGGTACATGCACGCAAATGTGTGCGTGCATTATGAGGGAGTGTGCATGGAGCTCTCTGTTCATGTGTACAAGTGTATTGGGAAACGTGTACCACACATGTGTACACCCACACATGTACTGTGCTCTTGAATGGGAGCTTCTGGGGAAGGCACACGTGTACGAGTTATGGTTGAGTAGGAAAATATGTTCACTCACTAAAAAGGGCCAGTGGGCCCACATGTACTTGTATGTAGACACGATACTTATGGAAGGCCTGTGTATGCTGTTTACAAACATGAGTGCACACGCAAGACCTTTCCCTTGTGTCACATATGACCACATTTGAGGGCCTGCAGGGATACCCCATATACATGGCTGTGCACACGCATGGGTCTGAGTTGTGCACACAGGTGTCACCATGTTCTGGCACAGTACGCTGTTTCACCCATGCATGCACGGAAGTACCAGCCCTCTCCTTGCAGAGTGAGGGTTGACAGGCTTACATTTTCCAGAGGCTCAGTGGCCAGTGACAGAGCAGGCCTGGGCACACATGCTGGCAGGAGGTGAGTGGAGCTGCTGATTCATGACCTGGGGTGGGCGGCGCTGACGGCGGGCTGACAGCTGCGGGCGCTTAGCCGCCCCCTGTGACAGCCGCAGGCTCTCTGAATCAGCAGGAGGTGGGAGGTTGGTTCTTGACCCGTGGTGCTCAGCACTGGCTTCCTGCCTCCAGAAGCTGTCCGCAGCCACTTGTGGACACACATACACACACACTGGCTCACAGCAGAGGCGCAGCCCAGGCTTGGACTGCAGCCAGCCAGCTCTGACCCACTCTAGGGTACTCCCCAGCTCTGCCGTCCATCTTGAGTGGCTACCCTTCTTCCCAAGGCTTCTCTCTCACCTACGCCCAAATTCCCCTGAGAATCTAAGCCGTCTAGGCCCTGTGCCAAGGGCTGGGGTTTGGGGGTTCAGGCTTTGTGCCCTTGAGCGAGGTCCTCCTCATCCCTGAGCCCTGAGTCCCTCGTCTCCTCCTCATAAAATCAGGGCTATAAAAACATCTGCTTAAAATTAAACAAAGCACATTATGTAAAGTGCTAAACACTGAACACAGAGTCCATTCTCCATGAGTTTTATCTCTATTAATATTAATTACCTGCAGTGCTGAGTACCGCGCCTGGCATGCAGTTCGTGCTGCTGTCATCATTATCATCATCATCATCATCACCAGCATCGTCACAGTGTCTCATGTCCCTGGTTTTAAAATTCTTGGTCAGTTATGCATCAGTTCTTGCCGAAGACCCTGAATCGTCTTTTATCCTGTGATAATGACGGTGATAGTGATGATGACAATAAAAAGGGGACTTTGTTTTCATTTTCTCAGAGCCTTCCACAGAGGGCAGAAGAAGGCCCTTCATTCTCGGAGCTCCCTGGGGAGCCTTTGTGCCTATGTGGAGCCCGGGGCTGAGACTGGGCTGTATTCTCTGCCTAACTCAGCAGGAGGCTTTGGCGTTCTTGGGGAACCTGGTGGGAACCCATGAGACAGATGGCCAAAGGCTGTGCGCACCAGAACAAGAGCCTTCCATGTGCCTCCAGATCTTAAGAAAGCTCATGGAGTGCTTGGTGTGAGAAGATACCTCCTGGGACACGGTGACAAGGCTGTAGTCCCTGGATCCCCCTCCAGGCTGGCGTGGTGCCCGAGGAGAGAGACAGCAGGCAAATGGGGCTGGGGGTGCAGTGATGGTCGTTCTAGGTCCCCCCAGAACTAGGCTGTGGGGAGCAGTGCAGACAGGGGAACCAGCTCCCCCAAAGCATGGACTTCAAATGCACCAGGATGTCTTCAGGGCTGTCTGGCTGCCAGGCACTGTGTGTGCTGCTGGCACAGTGGGCTCTGGGGTGGGGGGCAGAGGACCCAGCTTGAAATCTTAGCATGTCTGCTTATTAGCTGCTGGACAGCCGGATGTGGTGATTCAGATCTGTCACCCCAAAATTCTGGGAGGCTGAGGCAACATCGTGAAACCCTGTCTCAAAATTTTAAAAGGCCAGTGATGTAACTCAGTGCAGAGGCCCTGAGTTCAACCCCTAGCACTGCTGAGAAGTGGGAGCCTAGCCCTTGTGTTGTTGGGAACTGAATTAATTCGTGTGTGGGGCTCAGGGCACCCAGGAAGTACAGTGTCAGTGGCTGTCACTGCAATTTATCTTCACTGCACAGACAGAGCAGTGTTTACAGCCTCTGCTCTTTACGGATAAGAAAATGGAGGTATGGAGCGGACAGGTACCTTGTAAAGTCCTGGACTCAGAAGGTGAACCTGGGAGACTAAAGGTTTTTTTTCTTGCAAGCTCTTTAATTTTGTGTAACCTTGGTAAGGCATTCCCCATATTTGGGCTTTGGGCAGATTTTGAAGGGACTTATGACTCCATGTCCCCTGAGTGTGTAACCTGCCTGTAATGGCCTTGGTAGAGTTAGAATCTCTGGGAGGAGCATATGGGAGGAGCAGAGACTTGGAGTTAGGGTCCTGTGTTGCCCTGCTGTGCCCCATATCGGCTGGGTGACCTGGAACAGTGCCCTTATCCCTCTCTCAGGTCCGCCTGTGCAGTGGAGGTGGCACTGACCGGCCTCAGAGCTGTTGCTGGGTTTTGTCTGTGAGACACGGTGACCACAATGGAAGAGCTGATTCCGTCAACTCTTGGTCCCCAAGTCACCAGGATTCTTTATGGTACAAGTCGTGGGAACCATGATCGAAGGGTCCCACATGGGACAAATTGAGGTTTCTAAATGGTCCCCACTAGGGCCTGCACCGCCATTAACCACCCTTAGGGACTTTAGCAGACACGTTCAAGTTGATCAAAGCACCCCTTAGCCCGGTTTTCAAGCTCTTTGTACAATCTGCCTCCAACCGGTCCTCTGTGGCTCACCCTCCCCCCTCCCTGGAACCACTTACCCCTCCTAAAGCTGCCACATAGGCTTGCCAACCCTGGCCACCTCCACGCTGCTCTTTGCAGATGCATTCCTTGCTTGTATGGTCATCTCACACTCAAATCTTCAAGACCTAGCTAGAGACACCTCCACCGAGAACCTCCTCCTCCAGGAATTATCCAGTCTTTCTTCCATGTTTCCAGGTTCCAATTCTGTCAGTTCTGCTACATCTTGCAATAAACGCATCTCTGTTCCTGACCAGCTCAGTCCTGAACTACTTGTCATCTGTGTAACCTCTGGCAGCTTGCTGCTCACTGAGCCTGTTCCTCACCTGTGAGGCTTCCAGTACCTCGCTTAAATGAAATAATACAGGTAAGGCACAGAGGACACGCTTGCCATCTCTGGATGTATCACAGTGGAACTTGGTGAACATGGAGAGCTGAATGAAAGCTCCCTGTGTCAAAAATAAGGCTCATGAGCATTTATTAAGCCTTTTCCATGTATCAGGAAGGGACTGAGATGAGAGCTTATAATATCATCTCAGCCGAGCCTCAGTAACCACTTATGGGAGAAACTGCCATCATCTCCACCTTACAGATGAGGAAACTGAGGCTTTGGCTGCTGAGGACCCTGATCAAAGATGCCCAGCTTGTAAGAGCTGGAACTCACAGCGATACACATGGAACCAGTCCATCACTCAGGGCGGGACTGAGCGGGAGAAGTCATCTATGTTTTATACTCATGGTTTGACAGTTGGACACTCTTGGTGATGATTCTGTCCAGGGCTTCTTAAATTGATAAGGAGAATCATAGATGCCACATGAGACAAATAAATGTCCCTCTGAGTCCAGTGGCTTCCAAGCCCTCTGTCTTTGACCAGCGCTTCCTCCCACGCCCTAAGTCTGGAACCACCCAGCTTGTCCTCTCTTGACACCTCTGTTGGCTTATTTTGAGGTGACTTCATACTCCAGAGGGCCCCATGGCCACTGAGAGTACTCTTGTCCCCATTCAGGACAGGATGAGAAGCTGACAGTTGGGGTCACCCCCACCCCTGAGATGCTCAGGAGAGGGCAGCGGGGCCAGGGGAGCATTTCAGACGGGCGGGGGGGCTTCTAATAATGACAGAGATAACAGCAGCAACAAAGGCGAACATTTATTGGACACCTACTATGTGCCAGGCACTGCCCTAACCACTCAACACACACGAACCCTTCTTAGCCTCATAATTCTTCGAGGTAGGTTCTGTTATTAACCTCATTTGACAGATGAGGAAACTGAGGCCCAGAGAAGTGAGACGACTTGTCCAAGGCCAGGTCAGTGCCAGAGGCCCCAGCATTCAGCAGCCATGTGTCCCCGGACAGGTCACAACCACTTCTCTGGGGTTTCTTCCCCATCTGGCACCTGCAGGACCCCACCTCATGGTTTCTATGACGACTAAGACGGTCTCCGTACAGCGTCCCAGCACACAGTGGGTGCTCAGTAAATGGTCAGCCCTCCTTTCCTCTTAACTTAGATGCAGGAAACCTGGGTGGGGGCCTCTCAGCGCGTCCTCCCTCCAGCACTGCCCTCCAAGCCAGGTCACCACTTCCACGCCCTCGCTAACCGCAGAGTCACTCAGCGCACTTCTGCCTTCCTTTCAATGACATGGTCATAATTCTGCTCCTCTGAGCCCGGAAGCTGCACCCTAACAAGCGCCCCTCGGGTCCCGCCGCCCGGGGAGGGTGGGGAGGTCGAGGAAGGGGCCAGAGTGGGGAGATGCATGGTCCCGTGGGAGGCTAGGAGGCCTGGGCCTCGTCGTCCACGCGGTGGCCGGCGTAGAGCGCAGCCAGGGGCCGGAAGCGCGGGCCCCAGCTGCTGAGATAGGCGAAGTCCTGCTCGGAGCCCGTCGAGCCGCTGTGCAGCGAGCTGAGCGAGGCGGCCGGCGAGTCCGCGCCCTCGAAGGCGTAGGTCTGGAAGGCGTCGTAGGGCGGCACCGAGAGGTCCCCGTCCGCCAGCGCCACCTTGCGGCTGATGAAGTCCCTGAACACCGAGAAGTCCGGCTCGGGGCTCGGCGGCCCCTGAGGGAGCGAGTGGCGCTCCGAGGCCAGGCGGGCCTGCGGGGGGCTGCTGGCGCCCCCGCCCGCGCCCCCGCCGCCGCCCGCGTCGCCGCCCTTGAGCTCCCCGAAGTCGTAGAGGCTGCGCAGCGCCGACATGTCGTACGCCTCCGTGTCCTGCTCGCCGCCGCCCTCGTCGTTGTACTTGATGACGTTGTCCCGCATGTCCTCGTCCTCATCCGAGCTCAGGTGGCTCTTGTGGTGGCGCCGGAGGGTGAGGATCAGCAGCACCAGCACTGCTCGGGAGGGAGACACGGGGTGGAGAGGGAGAGGCGGGACAAGTGAGGGCCGAGCCTGGCCTGGGCATTAGTGGGACCCCACCCACTGCACCCCACCCCACTGCACCCCACCCCACTGCACCCCACCCCACTACACCCCACCCCACCCCTCAGGGAGCGGGCCCAGCTCCACACAGCAGTCCTTTTGCTCAAATAAACTCCCTGCAGCCAAACCCAAGCTGTCTGGATAGGTGGCCAGCTACCCTTCTAGAGAGGGACCAGATAACCGCGGGGGGTGGGGGTGGGGTGGGGGGTGTGGGGGAGGGGGGTGGGGAGGTGGCAGGCAGCGGAGTCAGGGGTTTTCCTGAGCGCCGAGGACAGGACTCAGCCTCGGAGATCTCCAGCCTCAGCTCTGTGCAGAGATGCAAGCTTCCTGCACTGCCCCTCCGGAGGAACGCTGAGAGCCGCACAGATGTCCTCGCCCTGAGCGCTCGTCGGCTCTGGGCCCTTCGATCTGCTCAGGAAGGCCTGTGGTCTCAGGTCAAGCCCCTTCTGAGCTCCGGGTCAGGCTCAGGGCCTTCGCCCCCAAGATCCCCTGAAGGGCTTTCTCCTGTCACACTGCTTCTCAGGGTTCCCCGCAGCCCCTGGGAACTTGTCCTCAGGTTCACCCTAGAGTGCTGGGGCCAGGGGGGAGCAGCCTGTGTGTCACAAAGTCTTTGGTTGATGCAGGGACAGAGGGAGGTGAGAACCACAGCTCTACCACAGACCGGATGCTGCTGTGGTGTCCTGTCTGTCTCCCCCTCACCCTGCAATACACTCCATAAATTACCCCTCAGGACCTGGGAAGGGTACCTCTAACTTGGTGCTTGGTGTGCAGGAAACACTCACCTCATGCTTGAGAATGAATGAGTTTGTGAATGAAGAGTTGGATGGAGACTCTGGAGGCTGGGGCAGTAGGGGGGGGGATGAATGAATGAATGAATGGTCCGTTCCCTCCCCTGGCTCCCTCACCCCCAGTACTGGGGATTGAATCCAAAGTCTTCACATTGAGCTACACTGCCTGTCTTCTTTTAAAATATTTTTGAGACAGAATCTTGCTAAGCTGCCCAGGTTGCATTCAAACCTGCAGTCCTCCTGCCTCAGCCGCCCATAGTGTTGGGGTCACAGGTGTGTGCCACCCCATCTGGCTTGGCTTTTTTCTTTGGCTTCCAGGATTCTACAGCTGCCTTTTCTCCTCCTGCCACCTCACTGATGCTCGTTCTATGTCTTCTATGTGGGCCTCTCCTTAATGGCAGATGACCCAGGACTCAGGCCTGACCTTTTATCCACATCCCTCCTCTAGATGCCCTCCGCCATCTCACGGCTTTCAGTGCCACTTAGAAGCCACCGCTTCCCTATCTCAGGGCCCTGAACTGCTCCCCTAAAATCTGGATTGTACGGACAGTTCCCTACTCAACGTGTGCTTTTGGATGGCCAAGAGAATTTGAAATGTAATGTGTCTAAATAACAAATAACCATCTTTTCCCCTTTCTACTCTGTCTCCCCCAGCTCAGTGATGAGAACCCCAACTTTTCAGTTACTCAGGACTTTCAAAGGTCATTTGTCCACTGATGAACCCCAGTGCCTAGAATAGTCCAGCACACAGGCAGGACTCACTGACCAGTATGTAAGTAAACTACGGTGGGTGGCTGGATGGACAGGTGGGTGGACACACATAGGTTGGGTACTGGGCTATGAATTAGCCGCCTCCTACAGTTTCAGACAGCTCCAGCCAGGCCACTGGCCAGAGCCAGCTGTAAGGGCCACGGGGCAGGGTGCTGGCCCACCACTTAGCAGGGTAGCCTATGACAGGGGAGGGGACAGGCCTATCGGGAGGGCCCCAGGGAGGGAAGTGTCAAGAGGGAAGTGGAGAAGATGGATGGGCAGCTCTCAGAGCTGGAAGCTGGGAGCGGTGGAGGGGGATGCCCGCGAGAGCAGATGGTGGGGATCGCGGGCGGCGGGCGACAGATGTGCCAGGCCTGATCAGCAATTCTGCCTGTCACCTTTAGAGCACTGATGTGCACTTTCTTCGTTTGTGGGCAATTAGGCAGAAATTTGTTTGCACTGCCTCGGAAAATGAAACCGCTGTAAAGTGCACTCTCTGGAAAAAGGTTTTCTGAGCCATAGGCCAGGGCGAGGGAGAGGGGGCTGAGCTTTTCCCAGCAAGGCGGAACTGCCCTGGGCCTCTGCAGGGACCCTGGAACCGGGCAACAGTGATGGGCAGCATGGGGTGGAGGCAGGTGCCATCTCCCAGGACCTGAGCAAAACTGGCATCTGCTGCCTGCACTGCTCTGGCTGCACCATAAGCCCAGTGGCAGGACTGGGCATCCGTTCCTGTCTGTATTTGGGCAGCTGCTGCTGTGTTAGGATCCCACTTGAACCCTACCTAGCTCCTGAGATTTGATCTCTTCCTTGGGGGCCTTTTGGAGTTCAGATGGCTGCTGTTGGGGCTGGTACCAGGGTAGCTCTTGCCCCCACTGCCATGTCTTAAGATGTTGCCACAGGTGCCCAAAGATTTGTTCCCAGCTTAAATTCATAACAGCTTAGAGGAGCAGTCAGGGTGAGAGGACCTAACTGGAAGTCAGATGATTCTCTGTGTACCTTTACACAAGCCACTTAACCTCTCTGAGCCTCGGTTTCTTCATCTGAAAAATGGGACAATGTACTTAGCCACACATTCCCTTCATGGAGAGTGAAAAGATCATAGATGCAAGAGGATTAAAACGTGCTTGGGTTTTAAACAGCAGGGAGACATTCGGACAGTGAAGAGGGTCAGCAGTCTGAATTCAGTTCCGGGTGAGAGGTCACCTTCTGGGTCACATGAAAGTCTGCTCTGTGCTTAGGAGACTTCCCCTAGGAGCTGCGTTTAGATCTGCATGTGGTTCACACCAGTCCTCCTTGTATAAAGGGGAAACTGAGGCTCCAGAGGGGTCAGTTGGGAAGGTAACTCAGGGCCCCAGGATGGAAGACAATCAGGAAGGGTGGGTGGCTCTTGGTGGACTCACCGACCAGGATGAGGACACAGACCAGGAGGGCGATGAGGGCGCCGGGGCTGAGGGAGGCAGCCATGACGAAGGCTGTGGTGTTGCAGGACTGGATGGCCCCGGAGCTGTCACAGCCGCAGATGCGGATGGTGAGTGTGCCTGTGCTGCTGAGCGTGGGCGGCCCGCTGTCCACCACGAGGATGGGCAGGAAGAACACGTCCTGCTCCTGCCGGTTGAAGCCCACGTGCTGTATGTGCACTGCGGCTGTGTTGTCTGCTCCAGAGGAAGGGAGTGGCGTGTGACATGGGGCCAGGGCCAGCCTTCCCCCTCCCAGCCACCTCCTGATTCCACCTCAAAACTCGACTCTGTGCCCTGGATTTCAGCCTCCCACTGACCGTTGGGTCTGTTCCTGGGTCTTTCCCTTGCGCCTGAGAGCCTGTCCTTAGCCACATAGCCCATCCTTCTGTCCTCAGCTGCCCCAGGACTCTGTTCACAGCCATCTCAAGATGCTGTTTTTAGTTCTTGTAAGGTTTTTGTTCCCTGCTGTGCCAAGGTACTATTCCAGCTATTCCAAAATTCTGTCCTCAGCAGGGCCAAGGTCCTGGCCCTGGCTATGTAAAAAAAATTTTGGAGGGGGCCATGCATCACAACAGCTTGTTTGTGTTTTAAATTCCACGGCAGCCCAGAAGTCCTATGGTCTTGGGTCATATTTTGTTGGGCCCTGAGAAGTCATCAGAGAGGACTGTGGAATCTGGCTGGCACCTGTCTTTGGCTGAGGGACCTTTGTGTCCTTCATGCCAGTCAAGAGTCCTGGAGTTATCTCGGGAGTCTCCCAGTCACAGGTGCAGGCTGGAGGGCTGTGGGGGAAGGGGGGCTGCCGGAGCCTGATGCAGGGACCCTAAAGCACCGTTACCCACATGCTTGCTTTCTACACAGGCCGGAGGGGCTGGTGAGCTACAACAAATGGTGTTCACTGCCGGGCTCTTGCTTGCTGATGGGGAAGCCAGACAGGGAGGAAGCAGTGTTGGAGCATGAGACCCCCTTCCTGTGCCTCGCCTGCCTCCAGACACCTGCCCTGTACCAGCTGGGCCACCTGACCCCTGGTCACTGACGGCTCCTCTCAGTTCTGTGGAGTGCGGAGGTACCCAGGGTGCAGAGCCTTTACCGTCAGCTCCCAAAAGGGGGCTCTGTCTTCTTTTGGGGGGCCTTTTGACCCTTCTCCCTGCCCTCAAAGTCTTCAGACTGGACTCTGATCTTAGATTTTGGAAGCCAGGACCCCCCTCCTGAGGTTTGCAATCCCAGATCATTCAGACTATCTGTCCCGTATACAGAGGGAAACTGAGGCCCGGGGGTGAGTAGCTGAGAAGAAACCAGCGTCCTAGGATGAGCCCATTCCTTCTCCAGCATGGGGAAGCTCCTGCCTCAACAGTCCCCAGCCGATTCAGCACTCCAGATGTGGACTTCCTCATCATGGACAACGCAGAGAAAGAGCCCCTGTGGGGACTGACTTGTGACCTTGGGCACAGCCAGGAAGGATTTTCCCATGAGGCAACAGGGCCATGAGACTTATTACCCTGTCCGCTTCTGTACCGATTCGAACATTTCCATACAGATGTTAAAGTAATTATACGGAGTGTATTATTTATTAGCTTGTGAAACTCAGCTCCTGTGGGCCTGTTTCCTCGTCTGAGCAAAGGTGTATTGTGCAGGTGTGAGGGTTTAACGGTGTACTGCACCTGGAACCTTAGAATAACTCCCAACACATAGAAATTCTTCATAAACACTTGCTAATTTTCTTTCCGATCCGGCCCCATTTTCTCTGTGCCTCACCCTGTGCCGTTCCTCATAAGCTTCCCGCTCTCTGGAACACCCTCTCCACCCGCTTGCCTGGGCAAATTCCTCATCTGTCATGCTCCAGCTAAATGTCACCTCCTTTCTGTGGCCTCCTTTCTCCGCTTTCCCGGGAAGGAAGGATTTATGGCTCCCCCTCCCTTCTCTGCCGACACAGGTGCCGTGCACAGTTCTGTCACAGCACTTGTCACGTTGCGTTAAGCTAGCGTGTGCCCATCCCTCCGCTACCCCGACAGCCAGGGCCTGGAGCCAGGCCAGACTGGAGGAAAGACGCGTGAATGAACCGTGACTCCGGCTAACGGGTGGGCTGAGGGTCAGCTCTGCACGCTCTGGTGGAGCTCTGCTCCGGACTCTAGCCTTCCTGTCAAAGGGGGAGTCAACCCCGGTTGTGAAAATACCTGCCTTTCACTGGGGAGTAAAGGAGATGCAGGGCAAGTGGAGAGAAGAAGGGAGGGCGTGAGACTCGTCTGCACTGATCGATGCTTTTGGTACATTAAGAACTCTGTAGGTAACTTAAATACAGAGCAATATTTGATCCTCACACCAACCTAGAGCTACGGCATAGCATCTCTTACATATATGGAAATTGAGGCTCAGAGAGACTGACTTGCTTTGGATGAATCTAGTGAAATCACCCATCCATCTCTCCATCTGTCATCCATCCTTCCATCCATCCATCCTTCCATCCATCCATCCACCCATCCATCCATCCTTCCGTGCATCCTTCCATCTATCCACCCATCTTTTCATCCATCCATTTATCCACCCATCCTTCCATCCATCCATCTATCCACCCATCCATCCATCCATCCATCCTTCCATCCATCCATCCATCCATCCATCCTTCCGTCCATCCATCCATCCATCCATCCATCCATCTATCCATCCATCCTTCCGTCCATCCATCCATCCATCCATCCATCTTTCCGCATCCATCCATGTATCCATCCATCCTTCCATCTTCCCATCCATCCATCCATCCATCCATCCTTCCATCCATTATCTACCTCTTCATCCACGCTTCACCCACAACCTACTTATCCTATTTCCTTCTTTCTTTTTTTCCCCTTTTCTGTCCTTCCTCCTTCCTTCAAATAAATCTTCGTTAACTACTGCATGCCAGGCACCGAGCTAGTCACTAGAGGGACATAACTGCGAGCTAAATCAACTGGATCACAGCTCCAGTTCTAGTGCGAGACACAAACGCTAATTGAATAAAGCCACACTTTGGTTTTACAATCACAAACTACGACAAGGGCTGTAAAGGAAAAGTATGGAAAGCGCGTGGCCGAGGACTCGATCTGGCCTGCGCGTCGGGGAGGGCTTTTGGAAGAAGTATTATTTCTGAGCCTCGGAACAGTGAGTCCAGGGGAAGGGAACACCCCATGCAAAGACTTTGAAGTGGAAAGAAATAGACCCAAGGAACGGAAAGGAGTCCTGTGGGCGGACGGCGGAGGCAGGAGCACGTCACGGCAAGTTTTGGAGGCCTGCTCTGGCAAGGAGTTTTTGTTAGATTCCGTTCTGCCCTTTCCTTTCTCGTTCCCTTTTTCCTTTTTGAGACAGGATTTCTCTAGGTAGTCCACGCAGTCCTTCAACTCATTCTGTAGCCCAAGCTGTCCTCAACTCATAGCAATCTTCCTGCCTCAGCTTCCCGGCTCTAGGGTCAAGGGCATGTGCCACCATGCCCGATTATATTTTTAAAAGCAGTGGGAGGTCACTGACTGGTGGCTTTTAAGAGAGGAAGTAAGTTAGTGACAGGCCACCCATTGATTCATCAGCAAATAGGAGTTGAGCACCCTCTATATTTCATGACTGTTTAGGCCCTGGGGACAGCACAGTGGGTAAGAGAGACCCGGTTCCTGTCCTGGTGGAGCCCATCTCCCATGCAAGGGAGCTCACCGTCTGAAACACAAGAGTGGGTGTGGAGGAAGAGCCAGGCAGCTCCTGTGTGTTGTGTGAGCTAACAGTGGTAGAGGTGGGGGGAGTCGACAGATTTGAGGATCGCGTGGCTGGCCACAGCTCAGCCTCACACTGCCAAGCAAGAGCAGCGATGCCTGTCTCTCAGGTTGCCCTCTTCTGCCATACGGCCATACGCTGTGAGAGCTCCGGTCCCTGCTGCCCCTCCACTCCATGGAAGGGACCCCCAGTACCATCCTCGAGCCCCTCAGGCTGCTCTCCTGGCAGTAGCTGGCTTCCACCGGGGAAACCGCTGGGCCACCCCACCTCAACCCCACCCTGTCCTTCTAGGTGGGTCCACGCCCACCTCTGCATCCATCCATCTGGCCTGACGTCCATCAGTGTCAATTCCTGGCTGAAAAGCAATATTTATAAATCACGTTTCCAAACTGGCTACAAATTTGTACAAAGAAGCAGATGGGTTGGGGTGGCCATTTGTCACCGAGGATATTTATACAGTGAGGAGGATGGGGCTTGGCACACTACGGGAAGGGCTGGAGGGGCTGGACGGTAGGTGCCCGCTCTCCGTGTCCGCTCTGTCCTCGGCAGGCTGCTGCCACCCTGTTCCCGGAGATGGTCACGCCAGAGGGTGGTCCAGGAGCCCCGGGCCAAAAAGAAATGGCTGGACCAGGACCTCAGGCTCCTTGGGTTGGAAAGACTTTGAGCCTACAGAATTCAATCCAGGCCCCTCGTTCTCCTAGGGCAGCCCAGGCTACTTCTAGAGTGTGTAGGCCGAGCCGTACCAGCTGGTAGAATAGTAAAATACTTCCAAAAAGATTTAAGTCATCGTGGCTCTGAGCTCTCTCCCAGGTTCCTCCTGGAGCCTCACTCAGCCTCGCTCAAGCAGCTTCCTAACTAATGCTTAGGGGTTAACACCAGCCATCACAGGGACTCCGGGGTCTGGCCCAGGCTGTGGTGAGCATCTTTTCTGATCCTACCTAAGATCCTGCACTGGTCCTTAAACATTTTTAATGACTCCTGGCTAAGGAGTCTTCTAAGGGTTTTGCCTTTCGATGGGGGAGGGTGGAGAGTTGGAGTGTAAAGGTCCTGGGGATGACCCTGACCTGTCCCTGGGCCAGAAGGGAGCAATATAATCTGTTCCTCGGGGCCTTTCTGCTCATATCTCCTTCCAGTCCTGTCTCCTACCCCCTCTAGCCATGCAGGCCTCCTTCTGTTCTTTGAATGGTCCATCCCACCTTCTACCTCAGGGCCTTTGCACTTGCTGTTTCTTCTGCTTGGACAGTGCTTAGTCCACTTATCTGCTGGGCTCACTCTGCTGTTTCCTTTATATTTCTTCTCCCTATAGATCCCCTCAGAGAGGCCTTCTTGGCCTCCTTATTTAAAGTAGCTTCTATTCTCACCTCATTTTATGTTTTGGTTGAAGGTAACACATTTCAAGGAACATCTATGACGGGCCAGGTGTTGATCTAGGCACTCAGTAATGAACAAAGTAAAGCCCAGACTTTGTGGAGATTTCATTATTCCTCCCTCCACTAGCCACCTAACACCTCCAACGCATTATGAATTTGCTTGATTTCTGTCTCATCTCATTAGCAAATAAACTCCCCGCGGCAGGCGATTTTGTCCTGCTTGCCATTGGATTTCCAGGACCCAGAGCAGAGCCTGATCACAGGTACTGCGTCACTGTGTCTCAATACTGATCAATATTGTGCTCGATAAATAATTACTGCATGCAGGGACCGACACAGGGAAAGCATAACAATGTATGTCTGATAGTCCTCCAACTTCCGGGGCCACCCGGCCCTCACAGGTAGCTGTTATCAGTGCCAGTTTACAGATGGTGAAACTGAGTCCTCAGAGGGGAGAGACACTGGCCAGCACTGCATACAGAGCTGTCCACAGAGCTAACCACCCAACCACCCCACTGGTAGCCCTCTCTAAATCTTTCTAATAACCATCCCCTACTTTGGGGATGCCCCTCTCCATGCTGCAAACTGCACCTGAAGGGGGCTGGGCCCAGCCTTCCTGCCATCTTGGACCTAACCCTTGTCCCCTGGGTGTCTCCTCCCTCCATCTGTAGTGAGGGAAGAGGCAGGCAGGCCAGGCCCCTCCCTCCAAGCATCCTGGGACTTGGCGGCTCACAGGTAACTCACCTTGGATGTCGAGCAGAGAGAAATGAGGATTGCTGGGCGCCTCGGGCACCAGGCGGAAATCGAAGCGGTGCCCGCCCTGGGGCTCATCTCGGTCCACCACGCTGATGGTCTGGATGAGCTGCAGGGGAGGAGGGCAGGGCTGCTGGTGAGGCACAGGCCCGTCAGAGGCTGCCCCTCGCCAATCCTGGCAGCAACCCCGGCCCCGGCCCCTCTGGGGTACCTGGCCTGGCTTGGCATCCTCACACACAGCTGCCTCGTAGGGTGTGGCTAGTTCTGGGGGATTGTCATTCACATCGAGGATTCGGATCCTTAGGGATGCCCGGGAGAGCTGAGCGTGATTGTCTGTGATAAGAGCACAGAAGTAGGGTGAGAGAGAGGTCGGTAAACCCATCTGCTGATAGGCAGTGGGGGTCACACTGAGATTTTTTTTTTTGTTGTTGTTGACCATGATGATACAAGGATCAGGGACCAGGACTGTGCACCTCTGGACATAGGGGAGTCATCATCAGCATCACAATCACCTTCACCACTGCCATCACCATCACCACCAACATTACCACCATGAGCATCATTAGCACTGGCACCACCAGCATCATTATCACGGCCTCTGCAACTATAAATGCCAGTGCCAACTTGTCACCGGTACCACCGCCAGCATCGGCACCATGCCTGTCTCTCCCACCCATCACCCCCGAGAGATCAT